AGCATGAACACAAGTGGAGGGTTGCTATCGCACGATGAGGGTTTCCGTTTAAAGTGCTCTAAACACAGCAGCTTGTACAACTACAACATTGGCGTCTGATGCACACTTAATACAAGGGGAGGTTTAGGGCTGCGCATGCCTGCAGTCATTTTGCGCCAATCTCAGCCTAAGCTTGTCTTCAGCCAGGCCTCAAACTATCCTTTCTGACTGGTTCAAGAACTTCAGGAAATCGCGCTTTCCCAGCAAAGACGCGACCCCCCGAACCTCTTCAGGACGCCTGGTGAGTCCTGCAGCGATGTTCCTTCGTGGAAGGAGTGATTGGGTCGACGACTGCTACCACCATCACTCCTGTTGCTACTTCTATTACCCTTACTTCAATTTGTAGATGTCGCTACCTCGATCAAGGGACACAGTGGGCGTGCGGAGTGCTTTCATGTCATCAGTTTGTCACCCCAACTTTAACCCTTAAACTTGAGCGCTGGGCTTTTGATGCGTGGTTCGCTGCAGGACTCAGAAGGCTACAACTGCTCCCAGCTTTTTGGCTTTCGGCAGATCCGTTTAACTCCGCGCGTTTTAGGAAGAAAGGTTGAAGAACATTAAGCACGATGAATCGTGGTAAGATCTGGAGAGTTTGCAGGCTACATTGATCACATGTAGTGACAGTGTTCCAGGGTAAAGGTTTCTGCGACGGACCAGACTCGCCCCCACACAACCCGCCTTCCTTGCAAGATCTGGAAAGATGGACCGGTAGAGTCAAGCGGCAAGCACTTGTTAAGCCGTCGATTCCTAGATTAACCTGTGACAAGCAGGCTCACGGAGCCTGACTCGACCCAAGCTCCTAGCTGCCATAAGAGCGGGCAGTCTGCTGCAAGGTATCAGACTGATAGCTGGTGCACTGCCGATGGCAACCTGGGCACTGGCTGGCAGGCGAGGTGGAACGTGCCGTGGCGTGAGGCTTATGGGGTTGTGGTTTAGTTTAAGTTTAAGTATTGTGTTTCTGGGTGAAGTCCCTGTCCAGTGTGTGCCTGAGGCTTGGGTCGTGTCTTAAGCTCATGGCAGCTTCTGCAGTTTGTCGTCCTTGAGCTCGGGGGTCCCACAGCGGAAGATGTCAGAGCCCGGAGCGGCAAGTTGTCCGAACGGTGGCCGAGGGGGCGTTCTCGGTTTCGTGTGCCCTGATTCGGTGATGACGGCATTTCAGGGGTTACCGGAGGCTTTCTTCCTTTGGAGTCAAGAATTCGGGATTTAGGAAGGGGTCGTGCTGCTCCTAGACTGCCAGCTGTTGACAATAAGTGCACAGAGATAGCATCGTTTGTAATTCGGTACCCGAGCATGTCCCGGGCCAGAGCATCTCGGAAAATCCAGCAAAGCAATTCGGATGGTGGGGGTGCAACCCTGCGAGACACAACCCGTGAACCCTGCAGTTGCTTGTTGAAAAAACCGAGGTGATGGAGACCTACTGGCACGATGGGCACCGAACTTAGGAGGTGTTTCCTTGTTGTGACCATGGGGGGTCTGCAGCCCAGAAGGTTCTGGGCCAGGGTCTCGGATGGTTCTTCACGAAAGGCTTTTGATATCGTCAGAGATAGAGTCAACGGGCTTCGAGAGTTATGTTCCTGTTGGACGGTGCAAGGCTGGGGTTTCTCGGACAAGCTATAGTGCGGGTCTGTGCACACGAGAAGCTGACCAGCATGAGAGTTTTCAGAGTTCGTCATGGTCCTCATCCCCAGGAAGCCTGTCTGTTGAACAATCAAGCATGCAAGACCCGCATGCTACCCAGCGATGTCCACAAAGGCAGAAGCAGCAACTTCTAGAAGCCCAGTAGCATACATCCCTTGGGTACGGCTCTGGTTATATCGCGACAGTCACCTACTATGTAGTCAACTGAGCGCCCAGGGAACTCAAACACTTCAGGTACACAGCTCTCAGTGCTTGCTGCGCTTGCGGTGGTGGGCAGGTCAATCACATCAATGGTGGCAGGGCTTAAACAAGTTGGGTTTTGGTGGCTCCGGTAGGAGAGATTTTGGACTTCGACCGTACTCCTCAGTCCTTGACGGCGAGAGCTGTAATCCATCGCTAGAGTTTGTGCATCGTACTGTACTGTCCCATACTTAGCATCGTATACAATGGCAAGTCTCTGACGATGGGATCTGGGGAAGAGACGGTGAATTGTGGTGCTAAGCACGGTAGCCCTGACCTTCGTTGATCAGCTTGAACGCAGCTTGTAGTCTCAGGGTTGAGATGGTTATTTAGGAAGCTGGACTGCCATTGCGACAGGCTCAGAGCCATGCTCAATTGAAACGCGCGAAGCTGTAGTCTCTACAGCAGTGACTCTAGTGCTTGTTGATTTGGGTCTGCGCCAAGGCTCTCGAAGTTTGCAACTCAGGCCTGTGGCAGGTGATGCGAGGGCCCTGCACCATCGAGGATGAGTGCATCCTGAGCCCGAACTATCCGGGAAACTATTCGGACAATGAGACGCTGAGCTGCTTTAGGTGTTCAACGGATTCACACGTCGAACTCACACTTCATACGGTAATAATGATCATAGTGACAGTGCAAGCAGACCCTTCAGTAGTCATGCCTCGGATGTTGCTCCAGTTGGCACAAAGTCACCATACTGCAGCCTCCAACCCTCGTTTGGGATTCGTCACTGAGGCGTTGCACCATCTTGGTGAATAGCACACTGGCGAAGCCCCTGAAGACGATCCACTGGGATGTGGACGCTGTGCCAACACTTGTCGCAACAGAACAAAGGCAGGTTGAACCCCTCCAGCCAACAAGCCCCCACACTCACTGTAGCTCCAAGCCAGCTTCGGCAGAAACCCGTTTAGTATCAGCGGACCGGTTCAGGGCCGAGAGTTTCAGGTTAAGGCCCACGGGCTCAGGGTTTGTTTAGCATGCGCTTGTAGGCATTTTTGGTGTCGTCGTCACTAGGCATCTAGGCTAGGCGTCATCTAGGTGTAATGGCTTGGTTTCGCTGCCTTGACTTCGCTGGGGTATGGACATGTTGAGTGTGACGAAGCCAGTGTATTAAGTTGAAAGGACCCCCCTACCATCTCGAAGCGGTTTCGTTTCTGGAGCGATGCAAAACTCGATCGCTTCGGTCCTAACCTGAGTTCGGTGCTCGAAGGCTTGGGGCTTGGGTGTGTTTTGGGGTTTAGGGCCTCGCCCCCTGCTCCGAAGCCGAAAGGCCAGCATCTGGCATCAAGCCCTAAGAGCCCTAAGCCTTAGGAGCACTGGTTCGACTACCTTCACATCAACGGCAAGCTCCTCGCTGCATTGTGAGAAGAACTTGCAGCCTCAGAGCCAGGGCATCAGGCTGTACACCCGAGGTTACCCCTGACAAGTCTTCAGCCTCTACACACCCTACATCCCCAAAGCCCAGGCCTTCTTTAGCAACGCTGCTTTGCAGCTAAAAAACCCAATGGACGAAACAGTCCCTCAAATTGAACCCTTCGGTCCAAGCCTCGAAACCCGCAACAGTTTCGGGCTTGGGGGATTCTGGGGTTTAAGCAACGGGTTGAGGGCTGCTGATGTTAAAGTCAACTAAAACGTAGCCTGCAATTCCAGCCCTAACCCCAAACCGCAGCTCCATCTGTGAACTAATGATACTGCGAACAGACATGGTTGCAAACAACTGGACAAGTACTTCAGTTAACAAGGAAGCTATCTTGTAATCGTAGTTTCTTACCAGGTATATTACCACGGCGTCAGGCTAGTCCGCATCCTCCAACTAATGGATTTTCTGGTTGTTGTGGGTCAGAATGTATGCAAACACAAGCACTTAACGTACTAGACCGTCACTTCAAACCATTCCGCCTGATCCTTTCTCTCCACATCCTCTGCCTCTTTTCTCCGAGCTTGCAACCCTTGTCCAACAACCCTCAGAACACTCCGCCGCTTGTCTCTAAACCCTCAGCCTAAAGTTCGAGGTTCAGGTTGCGTGCGGTTGCGGGGGCAGAGCTTCATGAACAGCACTTTAGGGTTCAACTAGTAGGAGGAGATGACTTCCGTGCGTCAGTCTGTGTCAGTCGCGGGGTCCTAATTTGGTTTGGGAGCATCAAACTTCTCGGACTGAACTCGTGGCCAAACTCCGCACCTGAGTTTCTACAGTGGACGGAACGATCCTCAAGGCGTCGTCCCAGCTGGCTCGATCCAGTGGAGTGCGGACGAGGCTTGTCGGGCTTCGGGTGTAGGGACTGTCTCGTCTCACTTGAGTTATGTCGCTCTTGAAGTTGGTTACATTCAACACTATTGATCTCTCCCTGCAGCATTGCGCACACCTCCCCAACGCTGTACGATTCCGATGCCCTGGCAGCTGTTTCTGCACATCAACCTGTAAAGGACCACGACAGTCATCGAGCATCGACTTCATGCCTTGGAATCCTGTTACATTCTTGCCTGAAGCACTTGCTCCGTGACGCTGGAGACTGAAGCCCAAGCCCAAAGCCCGCAAAAAGGCTTCGGATAACAGCTGCAGCTGCAGCCTTAAGCCCGAAGGATACCCATGGCACTGGCTGGAAGCTCTGCGCGACCGATGAGGCCATGACTAGCACCACAACAGCGGGTGTGGCCGAAGTGACCGAGGCGGAAGAATCGGTTCTGGATCCAGCGGTGTATGGTTCGGAAGTGGGATGTCAGCAACAGCAGGCAATCGAACAACCACAGCATCACTGAAGTTTCTTCGCAGTGTTGCTAGTAGCAACAAAGTACTAGTCGCAGAAGCAGTAGCTGTAACAGTAGGACAGTAGGAGTGGGAGTGGGTCGGTGTAGGAGCAGTAGTATGTGGTAGTAATCGTCGTCGCAGTCGTTGTGGTGGTCGTGGTCGTCCTAGGAGCAGGAGTAGTAGGAACAACAACAACTACTACTACTACTACTATACTACTACTACTACTACTACTACTACTACTACTACTACTACTACTACTACTACTACTACTACTACTACTACTACTACTACCACTACCACTACCACTACCACTACCACTACCACTCTACCACTACCACTACCACTACCACTACCACTACCACTACCACTACCACTACCACTACCACTACCACTACCACCCACTACCACCACTACCACCACTACCACCACTACCACCACTACTACCACTACTACCACTACTACTACCACTACTACCACTACTACTACCACTACTACCACTACTACCACTACTAGCACTACTATACTACCACCACTACCACTACCACTACCACTACCACTCCTACTCCTACTCCTACTCGTACTACTCCTACTCCTACTCCTACTCCTACTCCTACTCCTACTACGACGACGACTACTACTACCACTAGTAGTAGTGGTAGTAGTAGTAGTAGTAGTAGTAGTAGTAGTACTTGTTCAATAGCAGTAGTAATAATGTCAATGCTAATCGTAAGAGTGATCGTGGTGGTGGCCCCTGGCAGTGGTGGTTGGAGTGGGAGTTTGAGTGGGAGTGGGTTTGAGGGGGAGTGGAAGTCGCAGGAGGAGGAGGAGGAGGAGGAACACGAGAAACCCAACCAACACTCGCAAACTTGTGTTACTCCTATGCTCTATGCTGTACCACGACCACGACGACGACGATCGCGATGCTCACTTACGAAACGGCAACAGCAGCACCGCATTTTCCGTCAGACGCCTACATCGACAAAACCATATCAAATTTTGCGACCTCATCAACGCGATGATCCCTGAGGCGGCCACCACCTCCGAGCCTAGCACGAGCTCTGCAACGCCGCCGGAGCCCGCGGCACCCGCAGAGCCAGGGCCTTTGTGTAGTTTCTTGGGCTCGGTCCTCACGGATTCATCTTAGTAGTCGGTTTTGCCGAACCCTAAAGCCTTAAGACCCTGTGCTTCATAGCTCATTGCACTCTTCGCTGCGATCAAATAAATGATGATACTTCATTGTTTCCTCCAGGCCGATTCCCTGCCGGGACGTGGAGGGCTGGGCAGACTTGAGCGACTACCCTTGTGCCGAGCCTTGGGCAGTTTCCGATCATCATCGTTATCATCATCGTTGAACATTACTATCGGCCTCGCAATCGCCATCAGCAGACGTGAGCTGTGCGTGTTCCGAGGAATATGTCCAGCGGGGGAGCCTTGTTTGAATCTGATCGAAGGAGAGGTTGCCTTGGGGACGGCCGCTAAGATTGAATTTGTAGCTACATGCACCTACATTCAAAAGGCTTACATAGTTCCAGGCCAAGAAAATACTATCCTAGCAGTCCTAGCAAGCTATTCACAGTTGCGGGTCCGCTGAAAGCAGTCCATAGGTGCTATGAAGTTCTTTTGCAACACGTTTCACTTGTGCAGCTTTTCTTGCTTCTGTTACCTTTCTGCATGGGGGCGATTTCGAAGAGTGTGCATGACCCAGACTCAAAGCTATCTAACTCCGAAGACGAAGGCTTGGGCTCTTCTGAAGCGTCCAGAGCGTTCACTGAATTTGTTGTTGTTTGGTGTTGGCAGACAGCTTGGAGTCTACAGAACAGGGGGGGAGAATTAAAGTCGTCCGTGCCACTCGCGCCACTCGCGCAGCGGGTCAGGCACATGGCGAGTGGAACGATTGGAACAGACTTCATTGGCGCAAGGGAGGGGGGCAAGGAATTGAAGTCGTCCGCGCCACTCGCGCCACTCGCCACTCGCTCTAATGTAGACGAAAAGGAATGAGTGGAACAGGTAGCGTATAGGGCGAGTGGCACGAGTGGAGCGAGTGGAACCAGTGGAACGGTAGAGCGAGTGGAGTGAGCGGAGCGAGTGGAACGGTCGGAGCGAGTCGAGCGAGTGGAACAGACGGATTAGCACGCCCCAACGCCGACACTCTCGAATTGTGGTTCGACGAACACGACCTCCGCAACAAGAACTGAGGTGGTGCACCAGCACTGGCGGCAAAGGTTCAAACTGGGCAGATGCAACTTGAGAGCACTGCTTGGTGGGTTCTTCACGTCCAACGAAATGAGAGTGTCTGTTCGGTACTGCGAGATGATGTCAGGACGCCGGGTTTGAGGTTGCGGTTGCAGATTGTTGTGTTCTCGATCCACCTGGCACGGCAGGGATTGTTGACTTCCGCTTTAGCTTTTCAGATATGCTATGCAGCTATGAACACGGGGTTTTACAACATCGTTCCAATGACAAAAAATCTTGCACCGCCCCAAGAGATCTGTCGTCAACATTGCTATAAAAACGGGGTTTTGGCAAAATCGTTCCAATGACAAAAATCTTGCACGCCTTGCTTGGATGTGTACCCGAAACAATGTAGGTGGTGCAAGATTTCCTCCATCCACCCTAGTGCGACCAGTGGTACCTACAGGAGCACCAAATAGCAAGATCATCGTCATGGCACCAGAAAGTGGTGACATGTGTCACAAGGCGCTTGGTCTTGCTGAGGCTTGGGGCCAGTTCGATGATTACTGGCGCAATGGCTACACAGCCCCGCAAGCTTGCTGCGCAACTTGACAGCTTCAGAAGCTTTCACGGGTATTGCATTCTTCTTATTAGTTGTTTCATCATCATAAGTTGTCATGACGATTACTAGTATTGTTCTACTATTGCTCGTAGTCCTATTAGTAATCATTGGTATTGGAATGTACGAGCCCTGGTACTGGTATTGTTACTAGTATCAGTGCTAGTACTAGTATTCGTAGTAGAACGTTTACTATTTATTTTTGGTGGTAGTAGTAGTAGTAGTAGTAGTAGTAGTAGTAGTAGTAGTAGTAGTAGTAGTAGTAGTAGTAGTAGTAGAGCAGCAGCAGCAGTAGCAGCAGCTTTTCACACGTTTTAGTACCAGCACTAGTATGAGCATTAGTACTGGCGTTCGTATGAGTATGAGTACAACTACGAGTGCGAGTATTAGTGTTAGCTTCAATATGTAAACTTAAAACCCTGAAGCCCGAATGTTCTACTGCCAGACAAGTCTGAGGGCTGCGGCGGCGGCCAGGTCCGCTCCGTCGTCGGAGCCTGGCAAGTCCTGCACGGGCCTGAAAGGGTCATTGGCGTGGTAATCGGCAACGCATGGTTGCTTCATCGAGCCCGTGGCTGCAGAACAACAAACTCCAACGAGCTTTCCGACCCAGGCACGGTGCCTGCACCATTGTGGATAACTGCATTCAGTCCCCCAACTATCCTGCGAATTACAGCGCCTTGGGGGCAAGAAGGATTCTTGAGACTTGCTTCCACGGATACGTGAAGGTTGAAGAATAGACAGGTGTTGTCAGCATGTAATGTAGTGTACAGAGAAGCATTGGGGACTTGGGGAGCGGTCGTGCATGTAGATACATCTGCTTGCGAGTCATCCATCTGCTTCCATAACCGTCAAGCTGCAAGGTGCATGCCTGAAGCTGCGTGGCCCGGATGCTAGACTTACTTGCCCTCCAATTGCAAGAACACCTCGTGCTAACGCAAGCGCTGAAGCCCGTGATTCCTTGCCGCGCCCCCTCTAAAGATCTCGCATGTTCCCGCAAGCCCGAGCCCTGCAGCTGGCAGGCAGCAATGGGCGGTGTGCCATAGTGTCAAACAGCAGCTTCATGGCTCCTCTGCAGCTGGTGGATTTCGCCACGGAGCGCTTTTACGATATCCTGACCATCAACAACATGCAGTTCAGCCCCTGGGCCGCCCTCCGCTACTGTATCCACTGCCTGTACACGCTGTCTTGCTGCAAGAGAAACTCTAAATGTCTAAATCCAGCCGCATCTCGCGCCGCCCAGGTGGCCTCAGGAAGCCTTCCGGCAACTTGGCTCTACAGGGACCCGAGGGCTGCACATTCAGGGCTCGGGGAGTATAGGATTTGTAGGTCTTCGGATTTGGGGATTCTGTGGGACGTGTTCCGGTGCATCGAGGGGCTTCTTGTGAGTTTTGTGAGAAGGGATTCGGTGACCGTGCATGTGTATGCTTATATGACATACACAATTGCAGCTCGATGGCATGGTTGCTTCCGATACGTTTCGGAATGCGGAGTTCAGACAAAGCCGGCCAACTTGGCTCGAGGACGTGACAGCTTGGGAAATGCTAAACAAGGAGCCACGTTCTAGAATGGGTGCCTTGAAGGAGGGACCTCAATGACTCGTTTCAAAGCCGCCCCCCTCCACATGCCAGTTCGAATGTGGGTGTAGTGTCGGTTTATGAGGTGACCTGACCTGAGTCTCACTTGCTTGCCTTCACTGCGGCCAAAGCACACATCACTACGGACTAGATCCGTTCTACTAGATCCGTTCTTGATGGCCGTACTGCTTCATCTCGGTATCAAGAGTTGACGGTAGAAGGAGCAATGCGGTGCAACCGATCTCGTGAAGCAAGCCTGCCCCAGCACTCATCGCCTAAATAATTACCAAAACTATTCCTTAGGTTCCTTACTATAATAAGTATACAGTACTAATATTATAAAAAGGGGCCCAAAACCCTAGCCTACTCTAATTCTTAAGGCCCCCGCCCGTGTACCGAAGCTCCGGCCTTCGGAGGCGTCACACCTCGGGGCACGATCGCCTGGAAGTCCGACGAGGACATCGAGGCGAAAGGCGCTAGAACCGGGCTTTGTGTAGGCTCTGGGCTCTGCAGAGGGCACTGCTTACAGGATACTTTTGAATAGGGTTTTCCACAACAGCCCTGTTTGCAAAGCAGTCGTAGGTTGCCATGCTTCGATCCTCTGTGCCCCCGGCAGGTTGGAAGCTTTGCCTAGGGCCAAAACCCTCGCCACCGGCAGGCTGCGTTTTGGGGTGCTTCGAGTTCGTGTTGCATATTCGTGGAATCTATTCAGCCTCCATGGACTCAGTACTGACTACTCATTCACCACAATGTCCCTGTTCGTAGCGTCCCGCAGTTTCGTCCTCTGGTAGCAGGGTACTTGCCTTTTGGAAAAGTGCCTGCTGCACGTGTTGCCAACTTCCCCTGTTCCCGTCATGCACGAGCAGGCAAGTACATCCGATTTAGGGAAGGCTTGCTTGAAGGACCGTGAGCTCTAAATTTCCTAGCCGGCATCACTGCGGCCTCCACCTCAGATACCAGATCCTAAACCTAAACCAGATGACTGTGGTATGATGTGATGTATTGGCAACCGAAGGCCCGGCCTTTTAGATTGAAGCCTGATGCGCTTAGTTGCTTGGAGGTGGTGGCATTTTCTCCGTTCTGGAAGGGCCTTGCACGAGCCTGGCCTTCTTGTGTAATTTCCCTGGCTCTCTTGCTCACTCCAATGAGACGAGTTTCGGTTCAGGGATATCGGGGGAGGGGATTCCGTCAATTTACGGCTTCCAGAGGACTTTGTTTGCACGCTACTGTAGTTCAAGGATCACACGGGCTGTTCCGTCTCGGCAGTCGCGCCGCAAGACTGTCCACCTTCTCGCACGCACATTCGCTTTGCTACCTTTGCTGGGGGTGTTGCTTGCTGCCCTCTGATAGTTTTCGCCATGGTTTTGCGGGGAACTGTCTGGTCAATAAGGAGCCCTCCCGCAAAGGGAACGCGCCAGCACTTGTGATAGACATGTCGCTAAAGTCCAGGAATCAACACGCCGCAAAGCTCGGGATCACGCTTCTGCCTTCTGTTCTCTCTTCTCTCTTGCAGAAACCTGTCGCGGTTTGAATTTGGGATCCACCGTCTTCCTCACCTGGATATATGGAGCAGTTCATCCAATTTTCGAAACCTTCGTTACGTTCCATTTGGGCATGGACAGGGACACGCATCCACGAAGACAGTGGAACAAATAACTGCGTGGGAATGTCAAGGGGTAGATCCATGTCCCGCTACTAATGGCTATGACGGGCGGACGAACATATGACCAGCTAAGTCGCCCCGGATCTTTATCCGAGGCATGCAAGAGTGAGAGGCTCTCGCGCGGCTAGTTTACAGAGAGGGCGCCACAACTCACATGTAATGCCAGCCAACATAAGGATGGATGCGGAGGGCTGCGCATTGTCACCGATTCTTGGCCGGATTTCAGTGAGGTAGAAACAAGGCCAGGCCTGGCAAAGATGGCTCGTCGTTGAGCGTTTCGGGCGCCCCGGAGCTTCGGGGCCACAAGGTAAATTAGATGTTTTGGGCGATCCCGGGTTCGATTCAGTGTACGGCCATTCCTTGTGTGAGGCTTTTCAGGCTTCGGCCTCCTGAGATCCTGAAGCGCAAAGACTTTGCAAAGAAATGCACGCAGTTCGGCTTCCCATAGCCGGCGACCTCAATCCGAACGTCTTGTACACAGTCCTGAGCCCACATCTCAAACTCCAGAACCATTCAGCCCTTAAGCCTACCAAGACCCGCGCCAAAGGTTGAACCTTAAGCACTAACACCTGGCGCCATACAGCCTCAAACCGAAAGCCGCGAAGCACACTCCACGACGTCTTAGAGTTTTTAACCCCGATGTTCTAAATCCTACGAGGCCAAAATTAAAGCCTTTCTTGACCGGCTTTTCTCGCGACGCTGCTTGCCGTGACTACTCTGTTGAAGGCTCTTTCGATCTTGGCATGAGCCACCTGTTACTGCTCCCAAGGCCATTCCTTGGACTTTTGTGTTTCATGTCCGCCCATGTTGTCCGACGCCGCTGGATCCCAAACGAACCGTGCAATTAGGGACACGTCCCAAACCCTGTAATTATTCAGCTCGAGAGCCTCGAGTGAGACAGGCAGTTTCAACAACAAGTGTTTGGCGTTGCGTTGTTGTGCAGAGATAGCCTTGGATTCACGATTTGTTTGAGTGCCCAGACCAAGATCTGCTCACATCACATGGCAGTGCCTCTCTCTTTGAGGCCCCACCCCAGAGGTCTGCGAACTATTAAATTATTAAACCGGGCCTTGGGTTTAGGGTTTCAGTTTCGAGCATGCGCATATCAACCGACGAGACACGATTAGTTTCAGTTTCATGTGGAGTGTGACGAAAGCCAAGGAATTACCCCAGCCACTACGGTTCTCTTCAAGGCTGCATTATCCAAGCGCTTCGGCAACGGAGGAAAAAACAGTATATAGTGTCAACAATAGCGTGTCTGATGATAATCGTACCGGTAATCTCGCGACATTGCTAGCCTGAAGTCATCAGAGCACCCCTGTTGCACTTATCATCACGACCATAAAAGACAGTGCAGTAGTAGTCTCGATGATCGTAGCTGCAACCCGACGCCTTATGCTAGGAATAAATTCAGGCCCTGCAAAGGATGCGAAATAAGTTCGAGCAGCGCACTAATTGCGATAGTCTGCTCGGATCAGGCGTCTTCGTTGGATAGCTTCAGGACTGTGCTTTGCAGAGGAGCGTGTCGTCCCTGGGTTGGTGTCTAGGTGTTGGACTGTTCCGGGACGGCGCTGGCGATGAATCTGTTGATACACTTTTAGAGTTTCCGCCGTCACGTAATCTTGCCGCCAGGGTTCACTTGCGAATGCGTTTGCGGTAATTTCTTCCGGCCGGCGGTCTCTTCCGGTAGCTGTGGATTCGATTTTCTTGCTCATGTGATTTTGGGATAAAGGGTTTCGGTATGTTTCGGTTTTGATGTTCTGGATGAGGTTGGGTTCACAGGGTGTCAGTGGGAATTTCAGTTTTTGTGGCGAGAAACTTTCGAGACGAAATCCCACAACCCGAACCCGACGCTTACAACTAGGTTTACAATCCGGAGAACAAGACCATCGCGGCGAAGGACTTCGTGACGGAAGCCAGCTACGATGCATCTTGTTGTTGAGTGTTCCGTCTTTTGGATACATCAGGTCAAGGCTTTGTAGTATCTGTAGTAATCATCGAGCACACGTTGTCAGGTTGAAGATTGAGGCGCTCGCGAGTGTTAATACTAGCGTGGAAGTGATTGAGGCCAAACCCAAGCATGCCTACCACATCGTTTTCGGACCAGCCTGAAACCCAAATGCGAATCGACAGGCCTCGATCATTGGAAAAGGGTTCCGGGGCATGCTACATTGTAGCTTCGTCTTGCCCATGCGGGAATGTTTTTGCAAACCCACGCATGCCAAACCCTGAATGCTGCCAAATCTCGAACGCTCTGCATCTGATTAAACACAACAAACCTTACAACTTATAACCCGTTCCTAACTCCCAACCCCCCCCCCCCCCTAAACTCTAAACTGTTTCTTCTCCTAAAATTCCCAGCCAAACAACCCTTATAGTTCTTGAGCTCCCCATAGACCCTGGTGTTGTAGAGGCATCCCGAGACCTGAAGGTTCGCCTCGTAGCTTCACAGTTCAGGGTATGCGGCTCGAAGGTTTCGATCTTGGGGTTCAGTGTTTTAGGTTTTTAGGGCTTGGGGTTTGGGGGCACGGGACTTTCAGATAGGGGCCTTCGTTTGAAGTGTAGGGTTTTTGTTAGCAGTTTTTGGGAGATCTTGAGATGGACCAAGGTGCTCTGGGTGAATGGACGCAGATATTCAGGTGCTCGGCTTTGTAAGCCGCACTTTCAGTCGATCTGGGCTTGAAAGCGTCTGTGCAGAACACCTATGTGTGTTTGAAGCCCGTGACTCCTTAAGCCCTTCCCCACACCTCCTGTATGAAAGCCAGCATATCCCGAGCCCAAAGCACTAGAAACCCGAGAAGCCCGTAGCAGTTAGGCAATGTAAGTGCCCAAAACCTGTCTTCACGAACGCCGAGTATCAAGAGGGCTGTAGGATACTTCAGGTGTTGACAGGGCACGTAGCGCCTTGAACCCTGAAGCCTCAGCACTTCAGCCCGAAGCCTCTCGCAAACCTGAAGCCGTAAACCCTCAAGCCTCAGGATTTTTCGTGTGTTTTGGGTTGGGGATGAGGATTGATACAGTGTCGGCTTCAGGGGCTCTGAAGTTGTGTACTGAGGTCTGGCTCGAGGTTGTGTAAGGTC